CTTAGGGGAAAGACCTAGAGAACAACTGTATAAAAATTGTACTTCTTAATCACTTTTTACTTGATTTATTCCATTTAAGCACAGCTTAGATTTCTGTTGAAAAGAAGAAATAGTTACCATTCATTTCATCACCATCCCAATGTCATTTTTCAGGCTTTCATCACTTTTAACCACAAATTTTGCAATATGCTCCTAGTCAGAATTAAGATCTGCCTTCTTCGCGCTTCATTTAGGACTTCCAATTCTCATCACAGTTACCTCTCTAGAACATTCATTCCATTATGGAACTCTCTTACTAATAAAAACATCCAGTAGCTCCTCATTGTCTTCAGCTTTAGCATTCAAATTCTTTAACACAAGGCTTAAAAATGTGTCACTTTTCTTCTTCACCTTCATGTTACCCTCCCCCTATGTGGAAGAGTCAATTCACAGGAAACTACTTGGCAGCTACCGAAATTACAGAGGTACGTTCGCATCTCAACGCTTGTGCACACATTGTCCCTTCCCTCGAGGGGAATTTACTCTCTGAAATCCATCCTCTTTGAAGCTACTGCAGACTCCCCAGGCAGAGAAAACAAATAAACAAGCAAACTTCTCTCTACACAATTTCCCTTAGGGATTTGTACATTTGTGTACTAAATATAATTACAGAGAATTCTATATATTAAAGGGGAAAAGCTAATAGAAATGAGCAATTAAAGATTGAGGTAAAAGGAAGAAGAGTAAGGATTGGGACCAAGTAATATTATGTATGCCCATATACATAAATATAATTTTTAAATTGATGGTTGTAAATCTATATCTTCCACTCCAGACCCCAGAGTCCCATATATGCACACCCAACAGTCTCCACGTGATGTCCAGTGGAAATGTACAAACATTGCAAACTTTAAAGATCCTATAAGGAACTTCATTGCCCTGCCCTTTCTTTCTCCCTTTCTTTTTCTTGCTTCCCTCCCTCCTTCCTTCCTTCCCTCCTTCCTTCCTTTCTAATAATTTGAGGCTTTCTGTATTCAATCCCAAGAAAAACTTAGGCTGACTATTCTCATTGGCACATCTTAACTTTCCCTCTTGCTTAGTCAAGTAGGCCTTGTCTTAGTGAACTTGGTATCTATCTCACTTTTCACTACTTTTAGAAATCAGTGTCTTGAATTTCCTCCTACATCTAGCCTAACCCCAGTATTCCCCATCTTAATAAATGGCTCCATGTTCCATGGATGACTCAGATCAGTGATTTAGAAATCGTTCGAATCCTTTCCCTTTCTACCTCCTTGTCCAGTCCATCAGGAAGTCCTGACGAACTACTTTCTATATAGATAGATAGATATGTAAATATATATAGATATAGACATAGATATAGATATCTCAAATCCCTACATATACATCTATTTCCACCCGTATTGTCACCACCCTAGACCTATCCACAGTCATCTCTTAGCTATTATTTTCAATAGCCTTCCATCTGATCATCCTCCTTTCTTACTTATGCTACTCCAGTACATTCTTCAAGTAGCTTCAAGAGTCATTCAGATAATAATACTTACAATTCAAATTGCATCAAGTTACTCACTGTTTAAAATCCTTTAATGGCTTCTCAATGCATATAAAACGTAGCTTAGACTCCTTGCCTTGGAGGCCCCTTCTCCCTCTTGGACTTAGTTTCCTACAGCACTCTCCTTTTCTGACTACAATCCACTACTCCAGTCTTTTACTCGGTTCTCAAATTTAAAAAACCTTTTCCTATCTTTAAAAAATGTTCTTCCCTCTTTCTGCCTTTCCCAAGAGTCCTCCACTCTGCTACTTGTTGCTCTCTATCTCAGCCTTTGTTTCTTTCTTTCTTTCGTTTTTTGCACTTTTAGTGTTTACTATCTTTTTTTTTTTTCTTATAACAAATAAGGGCGACCGGGTCTCTTTAGAATAAGACCCTTCCCTATAACAACGTAAGCTCCATGAGGGCAAAGTCAGAGACTTTGTTTGCCTAGTGTACTGTTTTTATCCCTACCTCATCCTGCACTATTCTTGACACAAAATTTATTAAAGAATACTTGTTGAACAACAACAAAAAACTGTTAAATCAATGTAACGCAAAGCCCACTTGAAAGTATTATTATTGGAGAGGAGGAGGGATATCCATCTATTTCAATGAGATAGGAAGGAAGGAAAAAAGGATAGTTACAGATCTATAGAGATTCACAGATTTTGGGCAGAAAATTGCCTGAAGGCTTTGATGTCTTCTCTGAACTAGGAGGCCAAGTCCTCTGCCTACAATTAATGAGTAGATGATGGAGTGTGAGGTTTGAAGAGGAATGTTAAATGTTTTGTTCAGCTGGTATTGGAGACCATGAACTTCTAATGACCTCAATCAATAGAATTAAGAAAGTTTCTCGAGCCTGCTGTTATGGATTGAATTGTGTCCCCCCAAAATGTGTATCACCTTGGTTAGGCCGTAATTCCCAGTACTGTGTGGCTGTCCACCGTTTTGTGATCTGATGTGATTATCCTATGTGTTGTAAATCCTAAGCTCTGTGATGTTAATGAGGCAGGATTAGAGGCAGTTATGTTAATGAAGCAGGATTTTATCTACAGGATTAGGTTGTATCTTGAGTCAATCTCTTTTGAGATATAAAACAGAGAATTGAGCAGAGAAGAGAGGGACCTCATTATCATTAAGCAAGAAGAGCAAGAGTGGAGCTTGCCCTTTGGACCTGGGGTCCCTGTGCTGAGAGGCTCTTGGACCAGGGAAAGATTGATAACAGGGATCTTCCCCCAAGAGCCAATGGAGGGAGAGGTCCTTACCCGGGAGCTGGTGCCCTGAATATGGACTTTTAGCCTCCTAAACTGTGAGAGAATAAACTTCTCTTTGTCAAAGCCATTCCCCTCTGGTATTTCTGTTATGGCAGCACTAGATAACTAAGACTACTGCTGAGCAATTTAGATGTTGGGGAGATATCAGCTACCTTCATTGATCTGTTGTTGTTGTTAGGTGCCATCAAATCAGTTCCGACTCACTGATCTGGTGTTTACAATTTAAAGGATAGATGCAGGGAAAATTAAGAGACGTTAAACAAATTTTTGTGAGCAACGGTGAAAGTATTTGAGGTGACTAACGTATGTTTTAGATCGAGTAGGGAAGGAAGTGAAGCCAGATGTATGATGATAGTTTGTGACAAAATGAGAGGGTAAAAGGAGTGGACAATTCCTGGGTGGCATAAATGGTTAAGCACTCAACTACTACTAGCCTAAAGGTTGGCAGTTCAAACCCGCCCAGAGGCACTTCAGAAGACAGGCCTGGCGATCTGTTTCCAAAAGGCAGCAGCCTTGAAAACCCTATGGAGTAGTTCTACTCTACGCACATGGGATCGCCATGGGTCAAAATCGACTCAGCAGCAGCTAACAACAAGGGAGTAGATGGCTTGATGAGACTGGGGAGTGGTACTAAGACTGCAACATGAAGCAGGTCAAGACAAGACACACTTAATGCTGGAGACACAGGATAAAGGAAATGGATGAAAATGATTCCCAACTTCAGAGAATGGGGGTTGGGGTCTCTATAGATTAAGACCCTTATAGGCAGCATTTCTTCCAAGACCTTTTCACGCCCTTCAACATTTTAATTGTCTTCAAGACTGTGATACTCTGGTAGATAAAAGATCCTAGAATATTTTATGGAATGTGTGATGATGAAATTATTCATTTGCTGTGGCAAAACAAGTCCACCTCATGTGCTATTAAGAATTCATGCATTGCAACAATTTCCAGAGAAAATTTAATAAATGGCTTAGTATAAATTCAGATCACCAGCAGGTTGTATTCAGAACACTTCTCCCTCCAGGCTGAGTGAACATTCCAAGAATGTATTTAATAACGTGTGGCACCAATCAGCCATTCCCCGGGTCTGTATTGCCTCCCTAAGTACTCAAGTTAATTGCATTATCAACAATGAATTTTCTCAAATATCCCTTACCTCTACCCAGAACATATTAAAAGGAATCACTTACATCTTTAGTTGTTTAGCTCAAGCAACAAATATTTATTGATAAAATAAAGCCACTTCAGGTGTTATTTAGGAACAGCATAGCAAGCAGGCAAAGGGATGAATCAGAACATAATTTCCAGTGGAATGACAGCAGGTAGGTTAAGATTTGATGTCCATAATAAGAATAATAACAAATACATGGGCATAATATTTTACAAATCGTGTCACAGGTGCTTAGCTTATGTGATCCTCACGACAATCCTGTGAGGTATTATTATCCTCTGTTTTACAGATGGGAGCCCTGGTGGCACAGTGGTTAAGAGCTACGGCTGCTAACCAAAAGTTCGACAGTTCGAATCCAACAGCTGCTCCTTGGAAACCCTATGGGGGCAGTTCTACTCTGTTCTATAGGGTGGCTGTGATTTGGAATTGACTTGACAGCAATGGATTTGATTTTTTTTTGGTTTTATTTTACAGATGAGAAAACTGAGTTTTAAAGATTTCCGTGACTTCTTCAAGGTCACTGGTGAACAGTTTTCGCCCAAATACATTTAAATTCCTTCCTTTTCCAATAACAATACTTTTTGGAAGTAGCATTTTCTGTGGACAGCTTTGCATTACACAGAAGAACGATGCCGTGGGAAAGAGCCCATTCAGGCTTAGTTCAGTTAGCGCCACAAACAGCGGAGACAAGCAGATAGGCCAAAAGGGGAGAATGGATGTTCTACCATGTGGCCACTAGATGGCAGTAAACGCCCCCCGAAATAAATGTGCGTCACTACAGACATCTTGGGGCTTTAAGCGGTCAAAGCAGAAAGGGGGAAAGAAGCAAAGCAATGCTATTCACTTAGAACTGTCATATAATTTAGACAAGAGTGTGTGTGTGTTTGCAGCAGAGGAAATGGAGAATTAACAGAACTGTTACTGTACTCTAGGCAGTTTCTTATAATGCTGATGGGTGGGGCCGGAGTGAAAAACCTTGATATTCGGTGCGTCGGTTCTATAATGTGTTCCCTTAGCTCATAGAGGCCATCTCACCCCGGATTCTGGATGTCCACTTGGGTATTATATGATGTCCGAGATGATCATTCCCATTCAGCGTCAAGTTGGCTGTTCTCTCCGGAGGAAGGGCATATGGAGTCGGTGCATTCCTGTTGCTGGTTGGACCTACACTGCGGTCCTTCTCCTGAGGTGTACCACTATCTGTTAGCCGGTAGAGAGAGAAGCAACTTGCAGCATCACAAGGGTAAATGTGCTTCATACGCACGGCATAGAGGAAGGTATCTGAGACGCCTTTGATGCTTTCTTGGTGTGACAGTAATCAGCTCGGTTAAAGGTTAGCTGCAAATTTTGGCCATTGGACAATGACTGTGAGTTCCTGATGAGAACATTTGAAAAGAGAAAAGATACGTGGTTGGGAATGAAGAGTGATAACCCATCTTTTTCACAGAATGATGTTTAGATGCCATCCTAAACCTTCTGAAAGTTAGAAAAGGAAATGTCCCACAGGTCTGTGGATCTCTACAGGCTCTGGAGATATCCCTGCGCCCGTTAATAAAACCAAAGTTCCCGTCAACTAGAAGAATGTTCTATTCGAGGAGACTCTTCCCTTGGAGTCAGCTGCTTTTCCTCTGGCACTGGGGGTAGCTCAGATGCTTTCTGCCCACACGTTCCTACGGTGAAGCGACTCATGTGAAGAGCTTCTTCATATCCTGGGAGGGTGTCCAAAGAGGAAGACAACTGGCCCAGGGAGCTGTGGGAATGAGCTACAGCCAGGATTCTTCGAGCTGCAGGGCCGAACACTGACTGCAGGGCTGGTAAAGAAAGAAGAGATAGAACTAAAGTAAACCTGACATCCTCAAAAATCAGAGACTTAAGTCCCTTCATTCTCAACAAGTGTCCAAACTCCTTTTCACTCCTTGCCACCAATTTTATGAAAATCCTGTTAAAGCTTGCTTAGAAACCTGCTTTATCTCTGCTAAAACAATCTGTCTTCTATGGCATCCTTGAATAATCTAAATTTCGTTCCCATATCTCACAACCCTGTCCTCTCCCTTTCGCAGACTTGAAACTCCCTACGCCATCTCACTGATATTGCTGACTCTTTCAGAATATTCATTAGCTGCCTTACTAATCTTTTCTCTGAGATAACAGTGAGGAAAGGGAGTCACTATAACAATGTTACATTGTTCTTTCTTCAAAATAAGTATCACAGTGCTTTGGGATCTGGTGTTCTGGCTGATCTTTACGCCCCAATTTTAGGAAACAACGCAATGTAACAGAGCAAGTAACAGAAATTGTCTTGTGATCATCACAGGGCATTTTGGGCCTAAAATTTAGTTATTAGGACTTGAAGAATAAAGAACTAAAAGGGTACACTACAATTTTACCTAAAGATATAAAATAATATAGATAATAGAACATTTAAGTTTTCACAAAATCCAACGTATTTTGAATGGGGGATCTGTTTACGGCTTAAAGTAGTTTTATAAAAATGATTATTTATAAACTGAGAAATTCTGGCTATAAAACATTTCCAGTAATATTGGGTTTCCATTCTGAGGCCTCTATCTCCATGCAAATCTTCTTGCTACCACTTGGTTCCAAATCAAGGGGCCCTGCTGCAAATTTCCACTGTTGGAACACATCTTCTCTTCAACATTTCACTTGATTTCTTCACTCTACCATCAGCCAGACAAATATTTGAGAATGCAGCATCTCTGAGAGTTCAGATCACCACACCATTAGGCTTCTGGAAATTAAAACTACACTGAGTTCTAGAATCTTCAGGACTATAAGATCGATGTTTCCATACCTTTGTACTCTCTTAATCATTTAAAGGATTCCTGGTGGCGCAGTAGTTAAGAGCTCGGCTGCTATCCAAAAGATTGGCAGTTGGAATCCACCAGCCGCTCCTCAGGAAACCCTACGGGGCAGTTCTACCCTGTCCTATAGAGTCGCTGGCACTAATGGCACAGTGGTTAAGTGCTGGGCTGCTAACCCAAAGGTCGGCTTTGAAACCAACCAGCCTCTCTGGGAGAAAAGACCTGGAGAGCTGGTTCCCCAAAGATTACCGCTGTGGAAACCCTCCCGGGAAGCTGTACTCTGTCCCATAGGCGCACTAGTCACTGTGAGTCAGAATCGACCCCACGGCAACTCTTTTTGTTTTTTTTTCTTTAACCATTTAAACCTGGGTTTCCCTCCCATGTTATACGAGTGCACTCACAAGTGATGGTGCTTTGGAGAGTGCTGTCATGATCAAAAGCGATGACTGTCACTTCGAAGGGTGGTGGGCCCCGGTCTTCCCCATTTTGCTGGTGACTCAGACAGCAGCAGCGCAAGCACACTGAAGTCAGGCCGCACAGGAGAAGCAGCGCACCAATCACCACCAGCAACCTGCAAGGAGCCCGCGGAGCAAGTGAGGATTCTGTCCTTGGGCTTGGTGCCCCGACTCTGGTGTAATCAGTCTCCAACGTTTGCATTGGATTCTCATTGGAATGCTTTGTAGAGACATTGTAAACCTTTAGTCCTAAAGCTTTCATTTTACGTATATGCTTACTTACTGTGTCTGCAAGACCGTCAGTTCATTAACACAACTGATAGGAGATCTGAATGGACCATTTTTTACTTTACTAATCTCTCCTCTGTGGAGAAACTTCTAGAGAAGGGCCTTGACGGAAGGACACAAAAATCTTTGACGTTGGTCGAGGAGATGGTATTGAAATAGGAAATCCTGGCACATTGTCAAGTAAGTTAGTGATAGGAAAAAGAAACTTTATGAGATTCTGGTAACTAGGCAGGCCGTCTCAGACATTTTCTTCTTGCTGACTATATATTTAAAAACTAAAAAAAATAAGATCCTTTTTAAGTGTCTTCCTGGGAATTATAGCTGCCACTTACCATATATACCAGAGATGTACCCAGTCTGTGGTCAGGCAACTAGGGAGAAAAAATAAAGCTTTATACAATAAAAGCATAGTCAATGCCTAGTGTAATTCCAGAATCAGAAATATGGGTTACAATATAATATGCCTTGTTATAATAAAAGCAGACAGTTTTCATCACAGATTATATTATTTCAACTTCAGTGTAACCAATGTGTTATAAAATGGGATGCCTTAAATAGTACTGTATGCTATAGACAGCATTGTGCAAATCATTTTGTGACTCATTATAAGACAAACTGAGTGAGTATGAAAATAGTGTTAATAGACAATGTAACCCTGACCATGGTAAACAGTTATGATGATAATTACTAAGAAACTACTTGGAATGCGAGATAGGAAAGAGTGAGTTGGAAACTGAATGTATACGTTTAAAAAAAAAGCAAAACTGCTTCTGTAGAGTTGTGCGGTGGGTAAATGTAAAGCAGAATTCGGTTCTGAGCACGAAAGCAATACATGTTTCCCAAGCTGTTTCAACACTCCCACTGAGACCACACGAGAAGGAGGAAGAGGGGGAAGTGGAAGCTAACTTCACCCATGATGAAAGCTGATCAAATATTCTGAATTAATTATGGCAACGATGAATTTTCTTTGTAAGAATGAGAAAAATAGGATCGTAAGGGAGAAGGAGTGTAGGATTAGAGCAGGGTTTAGAAAGCGAGGGGAAGGGAAAATGGGTGTTTCTTTGAAGATGTGTAAGTTTTGCCTTTAACAACACATAGATACTGAAATCCACTTTTCTCTCCTCTCTTTGGTTGCACATTTGTGGAAAATATGGTTTTGCTCTTTCGTTGAACAGTGTCACCTCTGGGTGTTCTCACGTTCCTCGTTTGTTCAAAGCCCCGTCTAGTTCCGCAACATTAGGATTCCGATTCGGTAGGAGAGGACTCTTCTTATGCTGGTGATGTTGTTACATGCCATCAAGTCTATTCCAACTCATAGTGACCCATGTGACAGAGTAGAACTGCCCCATAGGGTTTTCTAGGCTGTAATTTTCATGGAAGCAGATCCCCAGGTCTTTCTCCCTTGGAGCCGCTGGGTGGGTTCAAACTAACCACCTTTCTGTTAGCAGCCGAGTGCGTAACCATTGTGCCACCAGCACTTCCTCCTATGGTCGTAGGTGTCTAAAATGTCAGCCAGCATGTGTCAACTCACCAGGGCCCAATGTGCACATACCAATAACCAAGGCCATCACCATTTCCCGTGTGTTTAACAATGTGGCTGTTGGGAAACCCTTTTCACATGTTTTTCTTCAGCCTGAACAAGTCTTTTATTCAGCCTCTCCTTGCTTTTTAAGCAGTTCGCCTCCAGGTGGAATGACTCTCTTGCACTTTCATCTTTATGTCCTTGGTGTATGCATAAGACCTAATTGTGACAGATTCAGATTAAGGGATAATTACATCAAAGCGATAGCTAAATCCCTGTTAATATAAGTAAGCTATAAAAACTAAAAAATGCTATTCAGATTTGAAGTGGTGGTGCTACTTTGGAAATCACTGAGCTACATCAGCCTGTGACTCAATATTGAATGCATTCTGTCTTGATGAGTCACAGAGAAAGGTGGGGGATAAGGTCTTTGGCGAATCTCTATGTAAGTGGAGATAGATTCTGCCACTTTGCGGGAAGATTGGCTTTGGACAAAATGCCGTCAGCGGTGTTATTCTGAGCACTTAGGATGACACAAACACATGCCTTTTCTTTGGGTAATTAGTCCGTGATATTAGTAGGTTGATGCCCATTAAGTGGAAATAAATAAGGGAAGTCACAGACGTCTAATGACGTCTTGACCCCGTTTTGATGATTGATGTTTTTGTCTGTCTTTTCCTCCTCCTAGCTGGGATTCTCAGACACTTACTGTTCAGGATTGACACAGTTCTCTTCACATCTTGCCCCAGGAAGCTGTAAGAAGGGAAACCGTTTCAGACAGGGCAATAATCTAACGGGCTGTGCTCAGCAGCCCGCCAATCATCTCTCGTGGGTCTGCTCTGTTAGATAGGTTGGGGAGAACAGGGGAAAGGTGAGGAAGAGGTCACAGGGTTGGTGCGTGTGGTGGACTGAGTTTTCATATTTCATATGCCTGCCAACCGTAGTACAAATAGTATAACCCTTCTTAGTCTGTTTCAGCTTCGCGCAGTGTTCCTGGACTAGTCGATGCATTTGCTGTGTGTGTCTCTCCACATCGAATCTTCCCACTGTATGCGCGTCTGTGTCTATTCTGCGCTTTTTATAACTCAGAAGTGATTGCCTTTAGGACTTACCTTCCTCTGCTATGACCTCATTACCATAACAAAAGAAAAACCTTATTTCCAAAAAGGATCACATCCACAGCTACGAAGACCAGGACTTCAATACATTATTTGGGGGAACACACTTCAATTCACGTCCTTCCCACATGCAAAACATACGGGAAAACTTGAAAAAGCAAATATCTGATCTGTGTTTTTTTAGTGGTAGGTGAGCACCACTGCCTCTGTGAATGAGACGTAGCCATTTGTATCAATTTGCTTGTCCTAGAAATTTCCTTATCTGTCCCTCAGGATATTGCTGTTGTTCTCCTAATTCTTACCCAGTTGCAAATTAAATTCTACTCTTCTACCTTTTTCATTCCTTCAGTATCAAGAGAAGAAGGGGAAAGGGAGAAACAAACTAACATGTTTATTGACCAGCTACTATTCAATAAACAGTAAGACTGCTAAGAACTTTTACTTTTCCATAGCATTGAATCACAATAACCTCATAGGTGACTGTATTTAGGTGGGGAGAGTTAACCATATTTTGAAAGGTTAAGGAACTAAGTCACAGGAGTTTAAGTAACTTGACCAACGGCACGCACATATTGAAGTGGTCAGAATTCAGATCAAACTCTATCATAAATGCATGTTTTATGAATTAACAGAACCAGGGGAAGTCTGCTTTAACAGCTCCCTGCCAGTGCTATGGAGTCCCGTCTGCTCCTCGTAGAGAAGCACTGCACCCTTCTTCCAGCGTACATTTCCACTGCCTTTCTTCTTCAAAGATCCCTCTAGGTAGACTTTGGTTTTGAAACTGTTTGTCTCTTCTAATAACTTGACTGACATGATATTTCAGAAAAGCAATAGCCAAGCCCCTTTAAAAAGGGACAGAGATTTGTACAGAGTGAACTGGTAGGGCAGGGACAAGGGAGACGGGTAAAAGCAGGTCACGTACTCATGACATACCCGGTGAAAAGGGTTTACAAAGGACTGACGGCAGTCCTCTGCGGGACGTTTGAGAAGCTCCTGGTTATCAGTTTTGTTTTCATTTAAAGTCCATGGCCACTAAGGATGCAAAGTGTATGTTTCCTCAACAAACCCCGGGACTTTGTTTCACGTCCCTGAATACAGGTCAGAGAAGCCTAAAGTTCTCAGCAGATAAAGTGTCACTTTCAGGCCTGTTGCAAAGACAGAAAAAGAGAAAGGAAAGGGGAAGACACTACAAGAAAAAGAAAGGAAAGAAGACATCAATTGAACTGGTACATAGGAAGCACAAAAAACACTCCCTGTCTGCCCGGAGCTCTACAGGAGTTGGATTCTCTCTACTGTCTTTACTTGCTCTCCCTCTTGCTAGATTTCAGAGCCATGGAAACTTGCCCTTATCAGGGGCGGAGGGGAGGAGTGTGCTGTCGCAGGATGGAGTGAGCGGTTGGGCTCTCATAACAATGCATGTAAAAAAAAAAAAAATTGTATGGGAGCTATATGGGAAATTAACTTGAAAGGTAAACTTCATTTGATTACAACAATTAAAAAAAAAAAAGCCTAAAGAAAAGAAACTTGCCCTTGACAATTGTCCAAGATCCCTCAGACCAGTGACCTCTTTCTCAACTAACGGGTTACTCAGGGGCTTCAGGTTGGTAGTGGGGAGAAATAAAGAGTCCAAAGTATTTTTAAAGAGTCTCTCTTAGCTTATTTCTGGTCTGGAGGCATTTAAACTCTTAGATCAGTATTAGGGCTGATGTGAGAATTCAGTTTAGGGAAATTAAGTAGTTAGTTTTGATAGTTTACTTGGGATATGGGGCAATAAGATGTTAAGAGAGAGAGAGAAGTGGCACTTCTAAAGTGCCATAGCTATCCTATTTGTATCTGTGGCCACCCTACTTTGTGTCCCTCTTTTCGCTGACATTGTCATTAGTCACGCAAGCATCCACATAACCCCATGATAAAAAGGAAACATTCAGGTTATTCATCTCCTCACTTAATCCCTTGGTTCTACGTATGCCATTTCTCCCCATTCACTTCCTTCTAGATCTTTCTGAGAGTTGATTTATCTGAGAAACTAAAAAAAAGTCTTCTTCCTGCCTTTTCACAAGGAACTCACCTGGATGAAGTACACCAGGGCAGAGGTGGTGGCGTGAATTCGCACTCCCATCGGGCTGTGCTCCTGCTTCCCCAGGATCAGGCACTGGGCATCTCTTGCCTCCTTGCCGTGGTCTGTACCATATCTGATTTCTTGACCTAGACAACTTAAGGAGAGAACATTTTCTCACCAGTAAATCAGTTTTTCTTGCTTGCTTGCTCTCTCTCTTTCCTCTTGCTCTCTCTGGCTTTTGTCTTTTGTGGTCTTTCTCTCTCCCCTTCTATCCTGATTTCCTTCTCTATTTCTATTTTTATGGTCTCTTCATTTGCTTCTCTTTGCCTTTTTCCTTCCCTTCTATTGTTACTCCTTTCTATATTTCTTCAACTTTCTCTCCCTGCCCTCAAAAGGAAGACAATCAGGGAGGACACAGCTGTTCTCCGAATTGGTACTTTTCTAGGCAGTGGTGAGAAACTTGGCTTTGAGGATGGTCAAAGGCAGATTGCTGGTGACCAGATATGTTCTCTTCTTCATTAGAAAACAAGTCATATTCTGGGTCCTTCACCAGAGCAGTCCAGGGCGACTGTTGAAGATTGAAAGTCACCCTGCCAATCTCCGTTAACCACCCCATGTGATTAGCCCCCTTTTCTTGCTCTTTGAAATTTAGGCCCTCCCATTTGCTTTGTTGATAATCAACTCTCCTGGTTCTGGGTCATTTATTTCTAACCATTGAGAGAGGACTTAGAGATTGCCAATGACCTGGAAAGCCATCCCAACTTTGGAGAAAGCAGGTTTCAGGGTCAGAATTTCCAGGTGCTCAATCTCACCTCTCTGTGGAGTGCTGTACTAACTGACATCCGTTTTATGATCATCCTTTATATATTTTTATGAAATACTTTATATCACATAACGGGTTACTACTTAAGCAAAATTATTCATACAGTATTCATTTGTTCTTATAGATATGTTTCTTTACCACTCTTCAATGCCTTTTCACGGGTGCTTATTTTCACTCCCACTTCAGGTTATATTTTCTTGGGTGACAAGATTTGTTTCTCACCAATTTCCATCAGAACAGACAAATCAGACATTGTGTTGTTTTAAACTAGGTTCCAAGGTTTGTAGGAGTCTCTCTCTATTTCTTATTTGGTAAAGTGGCATTGCAGTTGATAATCAAATCTTGCTACCCAAGAAAATAAAACCTAAGGTGGGAGTAAAAATAAGCACATGTGCAAAGGAATCAAATATTAGTAAAGAAAACATGTCATAGGCTGGGCTCTCTAGAGAAGCAAAACCAGTAAAGCTTATAAATATATATAGAGAGAGATTTATATCAAGGAAACTGTTCACGTGATTGGAGAGGCTAGAATGTCCCAAGTCCATGGATCAGGGTAGAGGCCTCTCCCAATCCACGTAGCAGCAGAAGCTGGTGAACCCAAGGTCAGTAGGTTGGAGAGTAGGGCTCCCGCTCATGGGTTGTGAAGGTCAATGAATTCCAAGATCAGCAGGCAAGACTCAAGTTTTCTCCTGATTCACGTAGCTGCACAGGCTGGTGAACCCAAGATCAGCAGGCTGGAGAGCAAGACTCTTGCTAGCAGTCTGTGAAGATCAATGAATCCCAAGATAGACGGGTAAGCTGCTAGCTCAAGTCCCAAGAACCAGAGGTGAGATGACACGAGGCAATTGCTGGGTCAGGAACAAGGCAAAAACATTGGCAAAGTGAGCAGGAAGGAAGTAGCCAGTGGAAGGCAGAGAGCTGAAGGCTGAGGGGGTGGTGAGCCGCCACAGACCCTGCCCCCACCAGTACCACTCAGCACATTCCATCATGGGGGGTGATCACATATCAAATTTCAACAGGGAGGTGATCACAACATTATACAACTGCCAAAACACTGAGAATCATGGCCTAGCCAACTTGACATACAGTCTTAACCATCAGAAAACATATATTATCTATAAGAACAAACGAATACTGTATGAATGGTTTATGTGCAAGTAGTATTCTGTTACTTAATACAAAGTATTTCATAAGAACATGTAAGGAATGATCAGAAAACAGATATTAGTATGGTGTTCCACACAGAGGTGAGATTGAGCTTGTCAAAGATGATAGTTTATAAGGACGTATCTGTCTCATAAGGGTTAAACAAAACAACCTTTCAGATGCTAACTCTGAACTTCTAATAATATTGAGTGATTGTTGAGGGGATAGTGTTGGGTGGGATTAATGACTCTCTAAGAATCCCCATAGCATGCCAACACAGTATGAGAAGGAAAGTATATATAGGTATACATTTTTTTTACTCAGCTAAGGAAATCAAATAGTGGGAGAGTAAGTTAGTGTGATAGCAGTGATTCAAAATCTGTCAGTTCCACTACTAAATGGGCACAAATATTCTTTTTTAGAAAAGCAAAGAGACTGGTATTAGGATAAAGATTGTTTCCCAAATTTCAACAGAAAGCTTAGCAGGGTGGAAAGTATTTTATAGGACAAGGAGATTAGGACTCTAGTCCTGACCTTCCACTAAATTATTAGTTTCTCCAATTCTTACTTTTCCCTTTTGTAAAGGCAGGAGTAGAAAGGCCTATTTGACCTGCCTTAGATTTTTTTTTTTCCCCAAAGAGAAAATACAATCAGAGACATGAAGACAATTGTCATTGATTGAATTGTGTCCCCCAAAAAGATGTGTCAGCTTGGTTAGGCCATGATTCCCAGTATTGTGTGGTTGTCCTCCATTTTGTGATTTTCCTCTGTGTTGTAAATCATAATCTCTGCCCGTGGTTAAAGAGGATCAGTGTGGGATGTAATATGCTTGCTCAGGTCACATCCCTGATCCAATGTAAAGGGAGATTCCCTGGGGTGTGGCCTGCACCACCTTTTATCTTACAAGAGATAAAAGGTAAGAGAAGCAAGCAGAGAGTTGGGGACCTCATACCACCAAGAAAGCAGTGCAGGGAATAAAGCATTTCCTTTGGACCCAGGGTTCCTGCATGGAGAAGCTCCCAGACCAAGGGAAGACTGATGACAAGAACTTTCCTCCAGAGCCGACAGAGAGAGAAAGCCTTCCCCTGGAGCTGAAGCCCTGAAATTGGACTTCTAGGCTACTAGACTGTGAGAGAATAAACTTGTTTGTTAAAGCCATCTGCTTGTGGTATTTCTATTATAGCAGCCCGAGCTGCCTAAGACAGAATTTGGTACCGAGAGAGTGGGGTGCTGCTCTAACAGATACCTAAAATGTGGAAGCAGTTTTGAAACTGTGAATGGATAGAAGACTCAGAAGGAAGCGAGGAGAACTGTTAACACTGGAGAAGGTGCAGATGGTGAGAAACAGCAGCAGAGGACCGGAAGCAACAGTGAACCAGCAGCAGCAGAACCAAGATACCAGTACCAGACAATGCTGGAGCCGACCGACCCACAGAGCAAGAGAGCTGAGTGCCTGTGCATAGGAGGCTTCCTGCAGAGCAGGTTGCCTCCAGGCAGTTATTGGTGCAGCTACTAAGCTTTGGAACACTTGCCCCAGCAGCGCAGATGCGGGTGTGTGGCTCGAGGGCCAAGAGGCCAAGGAACCAGGAAACAGGAGCTGAAGAGACAAGGAACACAGGAAGCCAAGCTGCCTCAGTCTCAAAAGGTATGGCCACGACCTCAAAGGGTGGAGCCATGGCCTCTGGTGTTTCTAAGAGTGGAGTTTCCACTCAGATGGACTAGGAGAATGGTACGCCTAAAGCTGAGGGAGCAGAGTTGCTGTCTCAGTGGGCCTGGAAGATGGAGCTGAAGCCCAGGGCCAGGGGACTTCCACTCAGAATCCAGAGAGTGGGGCCAATACCTAGAGTCTGGAGGGCAGGGCTATTGTGTAAATGGTCTCAGAGAACAGAGGACTATTTTCAAAGCCTCGAGGGCTAATGTAATTTGTTTTGCTGACTTGCTTGGTGCCTGTAATGCTTTCTTTCCCTCCAATTTCTCCTATTTGTAATGGAAATGTCTAACTTGTGCCTGTTCTGCCATTGTACTTTGGAAGCAGATAATTCTATAATAAATTCTAGATTTCATAGATGAAGAGGACTTTTGGGATTTTGGACTGGGAGCTGATCTAAGACTTTTGCTATGATATGATGGGGTGAATGTGTTTTACATGTGACAAGGACGTGAATTTTTGGAGGCCAAAGTTTAGAGTGTCATGGATTGAACTGTGTCCCTCAAAAAGATGTGTCAGCTTGGTTAGGCCATGATTCCCAATATTGTGTGGTTGTCCTCCATTTTGTGATTTTCCTGTGTGTTATACATCATAATCTCTGCCTGTGGTTAAAGAAGATCAGGGTGAGATGTAACACCCTTGCTCAGGTCACATCTCTGATCCAATGTAAAGGGAGTTTCCCTGGGGTGTGGCCTGCACCACCTTTTATCTTACAAGAGATAAAAGGAAAGGGAAGCGAGCCAAGAGTTGAGGACCTCAAATCACCAAGAAAGCAGTACTGGGAGCAGAGTATGTCCTTTGGACCCAGGGTTCCTGCACAGAGAAGCTCCTAGTCCAGGGGAAGATTGACGAGAAGGACCTTCCTTCAGAGCCAACAGAGAGAGAAAGTGTTCTCCTGGAGCCAACGCCCTGAGTTTGGACTGTGAGAGAATAAACTTCTGTTTGTTAAAGTCATCTACTTGTGGTGTTTCTGTTATAGCACCACTAGATGCCTAAGACAACAATTTACATAGAAATTTCTACTCAGAGTGCCATGTACATGGGAAGCATCATTGACCTTTCCCTTCTCTTTCTCTTCTCAGAGAGACAGTAGGGCAACGTGGCTAAGAGTTTAAATGCCTGCTTTGTACCTTACTAGCTGTTTTGGGCAAGTTAGTGCATCTTTCTGTTGGCTCAGTTTCATCTTATATAAAATGGGAGTGACAATAATAATATTTAACTCATAGGCTTATGAAGCATAAATAAGTTATTATCTATAAAATGCACGTAATAGTCCTGATTTTATAAATATTAGTGAATTTTACCAATGACCTTCCCTTTTAATATGCAGAATAACTCACATTCTCCATGCCTTTCGTGTGAATTTTTTTACCAACCACCTCCAGAACATATTTTTAGCTTTCCCATTATCCCAACTCTTGAATATTTCCCGTTGCTAGCCTGGTCATCTCTTCTCCTAACCATGCCAGCCCTCACCTGAATGAACAGGTTTACCAGTGAACACGATTTTTTCCCTCCATTGCACTTCCCTGCTATGTGATTACCATCATCGTTTTGCCCTCCAGCTTTCTAACAGGTTTGAACAAAATAGGGTTCTGTTACTGACCTCCTTGTTATTTCTCCTGCTTAGAATTACTATTGCCGTATTTTTCCCCCTCACTGGATTATTCCCTGTGGAAACAAAAGCTGGAAAAAAAAAAAAATTTTTTTTGCTTTTCTTAATGAAAGTGATGATTCTTCCTTGTGGTGGTTTTGGCTCTGAGCTGAGTCCCTATCTAAGTCTCCAAGCAGGGAATGATGAGAGAAGAAAGAGGACTCAGGTGGAAAATTGGACAAGTGGTCAAGAAGGGCAGGTATCTGGGGTAGGGAGGAATAATCTCATTACAATCCTACACAATCTTGTTGCAATTCCATTAAGCTTGTGAATCATTAGCTTACACCCAGGTTGTTAAGGACTTGGAGTGGAACCAGTGGAGGGGGCATGTACACAGGTCTTTTCACCTACAGCTTCAGGGAATTGTTATACAACCTATCTAACAAGTGGGGCTAAAGAATTGCTTACTTCTGGTTCCTTTGATTACCCTCTTTTTGACCTTGCTTAAGTCAGGTGACCCACCTTGGATTGCCTTGCTCTCTGTGCCTCAGTGAAATAGAGGCCAGAACTATTATAACTCTGAGCAATCAAGCTCCAGCTACCAAGAGCTGAGTTAGTGGGATGGGACACATTTACTGCTTCCAGTATAGATAATATGACAGAAGAAGCCAGATCCATCTTGCAACACTGGGGTTTCCACTAGAACATGTCTCTTATGAGCCAAGATGGCAACCCCAGTATTGAATGGCAACTGCGGAGGCATTGAACGTGCAGTGGGAAGATTAGATTTAAGGAAGGTTTACAAAACAAGAGTATTAAGTTTACCACAGAATGTATTATTCTTATATGCTGTGTAACAAATTACCACAAATTATACAAGTACTCTGTAAAACAACACACATTTACCATCTCACAGTTTCTGTGAGTCTTGGCATAGCTTAGTTGGGTCCTGTGCTTAGATTCTCACAAGACTGCAGTCAAAGTGTCTGCTGGGCTGCATTCTCATCTGAAAATGTGACTGGGGGGGAATCCATTTTCAAGCTCCATCAGCTTGCTGACATAATTCCTTTGTTTGTGCCTGTAGATCTATGACAGCTTGCTTCTTTAAAGCCAGCAAGAGAGAGAGAGAGAGAGAGAGAGAGGCTAGCAAGATGGATTCTACACCCTATCGCAAATATGTGATCACATGCATTCCATCACCTTTGCCACATTCTACTGTTTAGAAGTAAGTCACGGGCCTTGGCCACACTCAAGGGAAGAGGATTGTACGAAAGTGTGAACACCAGGAGGTAGGGATGATATGGGAGCCACCTGAAGTCTGTCTGTCTGTCTGTCTGCCAGTCTGCCATACAAGAATTGTAGAAACCATCCCCAGGGATTTTTAAAACAAGAAAGGAACTCATTTGCTTCTGTTAGGCTTGATAGAAAAAGCCAAAAAAGAAAAAAAAAAAAAAGCAATACTGGGGAGACAGAAAACTGTTATTTCTCAAGCCTCCACACTCTTTATGTTGTGGCTTTTAAATATGATCTGGTTTGAGGAAAAGTGAAGAAAAGATTTGAATGTGACCCTGGTGTAGATATCCTCTGCCTTGCACTGTACTTCATCTTCTATGAAATGAATTCTGTCTGCCTTTCTGATCCTAAAAGTCTATCTCTGAATCCTTTTTGAGAGGTACTCAGACTACATCTATAATCTCTAAGATGTCGTTGAAAGAACACTGAGCTGAGTTCTTGTCTTGGCTTCAGAAGGAAAAGAGACACTCAGTAAACCCCTTAAACTTTTTGGACTTTGCTTCCACTTCCTCGAAATGAAAGAATCGACATAGATTTTCCTTAAATTTCTTCGTATTTTTAAAATCCAGGGTAGGCTGCTGATGTCTTCACAGCTAAGAAACTCAAGTGTTGTTAACTGTCTACTGTTTGCAGGGTACTATACTATTCATATAGTTGAGCAGGGGAGGTAGGAGACAGTGAACTTTTTTTAATAAAAGAGCCATATCCTTACTTTTAAGAGACTTGTAATTTATTTGAGGAGATGGAATGACAAAAATGGAATTGCAGATCAATACAGTGACTGTTAGACTACATAAAGTGAGGAGAGAAAAGAAAGGTTGATAGCAATCTTAGCTGTAGACGTTAAGTAGAAAGGAATGTTTTAAGAAAAAAGAAGAAGGAGCAGCAGCATAATTGAAGGGTGTGGAGGATAGGTGGGGCTTTCCTTCCTGTGAAGTGTTGACCCTAAAGACAATGCTTTATCATGCTCTTCTGGGTCTTGTGGGTGATGTGTGAAGATGAGTATCGGAAGTCTGAGGAATCTATCTCAGTCTTAGGTCTTCTGTAAAGAATGTGTTTTTTTCTGGTGCTAGTGTATGTCTAGATGTTTTAACTACATAGTCACGTCTATCCTTCCAAGGCATTCCTTCCCAGAACAACCTGAAAAATTTACCAGGTTGTAACATACTGTCATGAAATATGTGCCATGTACATTTCATCAACAAGAGTAATGTCCTGTCTTAATCCACTAGGATATTGATAGCATCCAAAGTGAGTCACTGCAGAGAATGATAGAGTGCACTCTTTATTGTTTTGGTGTCATTTCAGTATTTACTAATTCATTAATTTAAAAAAAAAATCCTGAGATCTTGTGTAAGTGAAAGTCACCATGGTGAATGTACAAATGTATCCAAACAATTTTGCATCTAGGCGCTCACAGTCAGGGGAGGCGGAAGGGGATTTGAGTGATAAGAATAATTAACATTGATTTGTTACAACTTTATTAGACTAGAATGTATTTGTTCTGTTTTTTTTTGGGGGGGTGGGGATGGATTGTAAACTATGGGATTAGAGAAAAACTCTAAATGACACATAGACTATTTTCAGTTTGGTTTTAGGTATCCTTCACAGCAAAGGGAATACAGAAAACCTAGGGAGGAGGAGAGAAATGGAATCCTAGTTAGACTGTCAATAACCCATTGCCATCAAATCAATTCCAACTCATAGCGACCCTATAGAACAGAGTAGAATTGCCCAACAGGGTTTCCAAGGCTCTAATCTTGGATTCATTCATTCATTCATTTATTACTTGTTTCTTTTTTCAGCCCCTTCCCTTATTTTTTCCTGGAATAGTTTAAAGTAAATATTAGCATATTATTTTGCCCATAAATACTTCAGAAGATATCTCTAACCTATCAGGATTAAAACAAACAAACAAACAACTGCAATGAAATATTTCTTTTCCAGCTGAGAAGTTGTGATGGTTGTGATGGAAAACAGGTGAGGATTCCATCAGTGAATACATATTAGTATACTTACGGAGAGCCTATAAAAGAGTCTGTGATTCAAGTCAATCATGGGTCAGACTGAAACACTTGCTTTGCTGAGCAATTTAAGTGTGTTGAGTAATAGCTATCTTTCTTTGAGTTCTTAATATGTTCCAGGCATGATGTTTATCATTTCACACCTAGTATCTTATTTGAATAGCTATAGTGACATTATCTAGTGGAAATTACTCCCTATTTATAGACAAGGACATAGGCCCATAAGTGTTAAGTGTTTCCCCTTCAAGATAATAGACTAAGGGAATAGCAAAGGAAAAATCTGAAACTAGCTCTATCTGACTCCAAAGTGATCTCTGCTGCTACGGTATACTGCCCTGTGTGACCTGTTGTTGTTGTGTGCTGCTGAGTCAATTCCAACTCCTAGTGACCCTATAGGACAGCCTTGCAGAGTTTCCTAGGCTGTAAGATTTACAGAAGGATCCCTGGTGGTGGTACAGTGGTTAAGCCCTTGGCTGCTCACTGAAAGGCCAGGGGTTTGAATCCACCAGCCGCTCCGTGGGAGAAAGATGTAATAGTCTGCTCCTATAAAGATCACAGCCTCGGAAACCCAATGGGGCAGTTTTACTGTGTCCTCTAGGGTCACTGTGAAGTTGGAATCAATTCTTCAGCAGCTGAGTGCTTAGCCATTGTGCCACATAGTATCCCCAGTTGAGTTCTGAAAGTACTCAGAATGTCATGGCTGAGATGCGAATCACATGTGATTCACCCAAAAATTCCAAAGCCTATTGCTATTATAACAGTCAAAATTAAAAAGGAAAACGTGTGACTTAATTGAGAGACACCGCCTAACGACCACCTACTATAGAGAAATAAATGAACAAGCAAACGCTAGCGTTGGAATCGAATAAGTGGATCCAAATGCCAACTCTTCCACATATTTGAGTGTGATTTACTCTCTTTGAATTGCACTGTCTTTATCTGAAGAGTAGGTAGGAGGCTGCTCTTCCAGTGCCCATGAAAAGTAAAGTTTTCCCCTTCATAAATTACTTAGTGAAATATCCTGAAACACTCAGAATCACCACTTTCCCCACCTGCAACAGACATACCCAAGTATTTGCATCAGCCAACTTCCCAGTATGAAGCAAACCCTCCCCTTCCTCCTGCCAGTGATTGAGTCATTCTTCTATCAGATAACTGTAGCTATTCAAATACTCCAGCAGAAGCTCACATCACACGTTTTGAGTTTGTTGAAGTTCTGGACTGTTTCACTCTCTCCTTCTTGGTATGAGCTTGGAAATAAACTGTGACGACCTGAAAATCAAGACCATGAAGGACGAGCCTGATGAGAAGCTAAATGCAGGGAAAGCTAGAGGTAGGAGGGGTACATAAATGTGTATCGGGGCAGAATTCTAATTTTAGCTCAAAAATAGAAATACATTCAAGAATGAGATTGAAAAGCCCAAAGACCTGATGATGGGAAAATGTTATAGAATAAACAATATTTACTTAAGAAATAATTAAAATATAATGGTAATGATTATAATCAAGATGACCATGATGAAGAATTAACTAAAATGATACATAGTAGAGAACTATGATAATTTTTTATTGTGCTTTAGGTGAAATTACAGCTCAAGTTAATTTCTCATACAAAAATTTATACACATATTGTTTTGTGACATTAGTTGCAAGCCCCACAATGTGACAGCACACTCTGCCTTTCCATCCTGGGTTCCCTGTGGGAAGGGACAGGAACCGGTCGAATGATAACTTTTATTGAGCGTTTACTATAGGGTATGTGCTGTGCTAAGGAGCCCTGGTGGCTTGGTGGTTAAGCCCTTGGCTGCTAAACAAAAGGTTGGCAGTTCAAACCCACCAGCCATTCTGTGGGAAAAAGAATTGGCAATTGGCTTCCATAAAGATTTACAGCCTTGTAAACCGCTGGGCAGTTCTACTCTGTCCTATACGGTCCCTGAGAGTCAGAATCACTCACAGCAGTGGGTTTTGGTATGTTCTATGTTACTCACTTTACATACATTACCTCTCTGAATCCTCACAGTAACACTTTGAGATTAGCACTACTGTTCTATACTTTTTTTACAGAGACAAACTGGGGATCGGGAAGATGAGTTAGCCAGTTTTAAGAAGCTTGTAAGTGGTAGAGCTAGGATTGTACCACAAGCTTCCATTTAGTCTTAATACAATCCACCAGAAGATTTAGGAAACCTTGAATTCACCCAGTGTATACAATGATAATTTTTATAATAGTGTCCTTAAATCACTGAAAAACCTGAAATATCTTCTGAATTATCCAAAGCAGATTAAATGATATTCAGTATGCTCTAGCAAATCTATGTTTTATAGTATATCACATCTTTGAAAAAATATAATTTCTGTTTGGCATATACAGTGACTTGAACTGCTTAATATAAATGACTGCATAATCCCAACTCCACAAACGATATGGATAAATTGCCCATTGTTTTATATCCATTCACATAAAAAGGAACAAAATACAAGGAAGGCAAAACCAAGAAGTATTGTCAGGAATTTGGTTAAAAGGAAGTCTAGATCATGTTTCCATAAACAAGACAAACTTTTTTTTCATTAGGGAAAATAAGTGTGAGCATGGAATGATTTAACATTTGAGCTGATGAACTGATGGGATTTGAAAGCAGTACCAGCATTCACAGGGCTACCAGTTAACAATAAACGAAAAAACCCGTGGTGATCGAGTCCATCCCTACTCATAGCGACCCTATAGGACAGAGCAGAACTGCCCCATAGGGTTTCCAAGGAGCACCTGGTGGATTCAAGCTGCCAACCTTTTGGTTAGCAGCTGAGCTCTTAACCACTTTGCCACCAGGACTCCGAAAGTTAACAATAGTCATTTATTTATCATTCATTTATTTATTCATGGAGTAAATATTGAGTGCTTGTCCGGTTATGAAATACACTCTTCTCTCAGGACCTTGGTTAGGTAAGGTATCTACCACAAAGGATCCATTGCTTTCTCATTAGAAAAACGCCAGTGGGGGAGGGGAGTTGGATTACTGGTCTATGTCTATCAAGGGGAAACCCTGGTGGTGTAGTGGTTAAGAGCTACCGCTGCTAAGCAAAAGGTCAGCAGTTCAAATCCGTCAGGCACTCCTTGGAAACTCTATGGGGAAGTTCTACCCTGTCCTATAGGGTCGCTATGAGTCAGAATTGACTGGGTGGCAATGGTTTGGTTGTTTTTTTTTTGGTCTATCAAGGAGTGAGGAAAACATGTGGTCTGTAGAGCATGGGAACATTGGTCTTCCCTGCACGGGTATGGGTCTTGTGATTTTCTTCTAAAAATTTGGAAATTTCATTAGTCAAGAGTGATAATTTCATTATCACTTCATATCCTGTAATATGGAATGAATACTGACAAGAAGGCAGTTACTTCAAAGATTTACACAGGGACATTTGCCCCTTAGGTAATTATTTGCAAGAGACACAGCTATCTTCTGCTTCTTCTCTGCCCACTTGCCGCACTCTGGAGTCTTAATAACTATCTATTGATTCAGTGAATCATATTCCTCCCAGTAAAAAATTCTATTTGGTTTGTATCATTTGTAGAATTATAACCCTAATAGAGTACTTTTGGCGCATGCAAATGCTGTAAATATATTTGACCATTCATTAGCCTGAATCATAACACGGGCACCCTGTAAATTTTGTGATGTAATGTTCCAAGTTATGAAGCTATTGACAATTGGGTTAAAGATGTTGATGTGATTTATGTGGATCTTAGCATCTCTGTGATCTTAGGCAAGTCACTGAACCTTTCAGTGTCCCCATTTGTATACAGGATACAAATATCAATGGCTTATTTATTTATCTCACAAGGCGAAGAGTCCAAATCCATTGTGTATGATGTTTTCCTGCTGAACCGTGATATGCATGCTCTTTTAGTGGTTGAACACATAATTAACCCATTGCTGTTGAGTTGATTCTGACTCACAGTGACCCTATAGGACAGAGTAGAACTGCCTCATAGGGTTTCCAAGGCTGTAAATCTTGACTGAAGCAGACTGCCACATCTTTCTCCCATGGAACTGCTAGTGAGTTGGAACCACCAACCTTTTGGTTATCGGCCAAGTGCTTAACCACTGAGCCACCAGGGCTCCTAACATATAATTAGACACTCATATATCTGTGAGTTACATGATTACCTGCTTTTACTGCAACAGTGACCTTTTCTTTTGTAACAATAAGACCACAGTTAGTATAAATGTAGGAAATTATGTAAAATGAGCCAAGTGAATATGGAGGTTTCCTTCGTATCTTTATTTTTGTTAATAATTCCAGTTTCAAGATGTAATTTTAATGGAATAAATATTGAATAGCATAAAATTATGTACTGAATTCTTTGAAGCTATCCCTGTTGATTAACTAAACAAAATTTACTTGCCTGACATTTGACATTCGTTTATGATATGTTACTCGTATAAGATAGTGTGTGTCTACATGCACGTGTGTATGCCTGTACAAGCACATATGCATATGGTAGACACTGAAGACATCAGACCCTCTGCTGTGGGTGAATTTGACTCAGCCCAACTGGACTGGAAGTTTCTTAAGGAGTCACTGTAAGGAGAGTAGAGAAAGTATCGGCTTTATATTTAGATACCTAGATTCAGATAGCTGCTCTTGAATCCTCGTTCTTAAATTTACTGGGTGGGTGAGTGATGAAAAGAAAATTACTCAAAATCCTTAACTGTCCATATTGTTTACCTGTCAATGTGAATAATAAATTATTTGTAGAGCCAGTGGGAGGACTAAAGTTAAGGAAAGCAAAGCACCAAGTGCAGACAGGATCCAAAGAATTGTTGGATTGATAGATGAACTCTTTGTTTCCATCCTCTGCTGTCGTTCTGATTCTATTTTCCGTCACTCTAGGTCCTCATCTTCTTTCTTCTCCATGGTGGTGCCCTGCTACTATGACTCTAGGGATCCTTTGTCTGGGATTACTGGTGACCATTATAATACAGGGAATGCAATGTAAGTGCTGCAACGGGCAAAAATAATGAGGGCTTACAAACATTGTTTATAAGTTGGCTTCATAAGAACTACAAACAGCCTTGGTGTAGACACATTTTAGGGAAAATATTTTTAGAATAAGTGGGAAGATGAATTGGTGTATTGTTCTCATTTCTCAAAGGAATAGAGGCATGGAGATTGTGAATGGCGGGATGGTACAAAAAAGATAGTTTGAAGCTACCAATCCACAAGATCCCCTGAGAGACTCAAAAGTAGAAGAAACTTCACTGAGTTCAAAACTCAAAAGGTTGCATTTTGATAGAGATGTGGAAACACAATTTAAAAATTCAGACCCCAAACACAACCTTACTCAGTAAATAAAACATTTAAAACAAAATGTACTTCAATTTATAATCGAACCTTTTAGGAAAGAGGAGATATTCAGAGGAGAAGAGGGACCAGGATGGCTAAGAAGGAGAGGTGTGTGTCATTCTTCCCCTCTGCCTGTGTATTTAGGTTTCAGTTCTGGATTCTTTCGGCTATCCAGGGTCCAGGGAGAGCCCTAGCCAAAGGACTTTGAAGTGCTATTTAGCTTCTCAATTGTTGTTCAAAGTTACAAAAACTTCGTTTTTTGGTATATAAACATGTAGAGTCTTCCCTACTGACGGGAGAAGTGGCGGTGCCCTTCTGGCGGTGATTGGAATACTATTTCTCTGAGGCTTCCATCACCTTACAACAGGGTCACATCCGGCCTTCAAGCCAGGGGTCTGCTTTGTCCTGAACCATCATGCTTCTAGAACTGAGATATCAGACCTTCAACATTCATTGCCTGCTTGATTTCACAACATGTGTTTCATCTCCGCCCTTCCTAAAATGTGCCGAAACAAAAAAAAAGAAAATGTTTTGACTCTCGCAATACGCCCACTTACAATTCTGCGTGAGTGGGTGTCTCAAAAAACGATGTCATAATTCTTAAATAAAATTAGGAAGTCTGGAATGGTAGACAGAATGAGAGACGAGATGGTAGAGGACTTAAGATACCAAAAGAGGATAAATCACTAATGACAAGTCCTACTATTAGTCACTGAGTCTGGTTGGCATCTATTTTAGATTATCTGTATTTTATTTATAATTCCGATATACTACTTATAGTGTGATTACTTTTAACTTTCGTGTGCTTCTCAATAAAAAGCTAAACCCTGGTAATTCGTTTAAACACTGGTAATTTGTTTAAAAACCCTGTCACAGCTATTAGCATTAATATATATATATATATATATAGAAGGAATATTGAGTGACTTTCAAATCCATAATTTCTGATTAAATTTGAGCCAACTTCCAAGCAGCTGATATGTTGTCAAAATAGATTATTTGGTTCTGTTTTGATATTTCCTTAGAATCCAGGTGGGGGTGTTTTGTTGGGGATTGGGAATAGAGTCTTGATCCAACTATGATTTAGTATCCCAGGTATCTGGTCTTCAAAAGCAACAGCAAGCAAACCTTACTCACCAGGAAAGTGAACTGGAGGGACAGATGTTAGCCCAGCAGCAGGCAGAAGAAGTTTCCCAGGAGTCCCAAAAGGAACTCCAGGAAAAGATAAAAACTCTTATTGAGACGCTGGATGAGAAATCGAAGAAGCTAATGGAACTTCAACACGAGAACCTGAAACTCCAAGAAGCTCTGAAGAGGGCAGCAAACTTTTCAGGTACAGTGGGAAGATAGTGAAAACTTCTGTTCAATTTTAACTCTTTTTCAGAAATGTTTCTAGGCACAGGATTGGCATATTGATACGTATATTATTATTCATTCATAATGTTCTATATCCCAAGTTCTCTATTTCTGTATTACTCACTCCACCCCACTTTACCCCCAAATCTTTGAGATATCTTATTTGATTAAGTTTTTCTTCCTCACAAGAACCTCTTCTTTCTTTTGCATATTCTAGTTTTGAGATATTTCTGGAAGAACATTTCTGTCATCACCCTTGGCCACCAGACCCTATTTCTTTCCACCCCAATGTATTTAATTCTTGGATTTCTTTTCCTAAGGGGTCTCCGTCCCCGAGACTTGCTACCCCTACCTTTATCCTTTGCTTCATTCTCTGGCATTATTTTTAAAAGTGTGCTCCCGTATCAATTTAAAATGAATCAATGGAGGTAGGTTGGCTTGGAAGGGTTAGGCAGATACTTCAGATTAGACAACAGTGTGATTAGTTCAGGAAGTCAGTTTATGTGAGAAGAGTTGAGTTGATCTGAATTGTCTGAGTGGGCTCAGCATTTAAGAGGTAGATAGAAATGGTAGCATTTATAAGAAGGAAATGATAATGTTAAATCTCACATTATTACAGAATCTATATATATCATTTAATCTTTCTACAGTACGTAATTTTAGTCATAGGGAGAACTAAAGGGCGCAAGATGGAGCTATATCCTGAATGAATCAGTTTCAGAACCACATTGCTTCTGTGGAGGTACTTGGGCAAACGCCCTATTCTCAGCGTGAGCCACTGCCATTACCAAGCATAGACGTCTCCAGCTTCTTGCTTGTACAAACAACTCAATCTCAAACATTTCATCTCTCTGAATACAAACTGTATAATAATATTTCACAGGTGCCCATTCCTTTATTTTATAGGTGAAAGAACTGAGACACAGATAAGTTAAATAATAATATAGTTTTATAGTTTATAAATCTCTTCAATATTTACAAAGTCACTTAAATTTCCAAAGTAAACATACCTTTTTAAACAAACTGATCTTTAGCAAGTGTTAGCCATTTACTCAATCTGTTTGAGGAGACATTTAGCAAGGAAATAAAAGAATGTATCATTTCCAGGAAGGCTTAAAGAAAGGAGGCCGCACACTCAAGGATAGGATGGTTTATATAAACAGACATGGTTACATATCAACCAGTGGTTTATTTCACAAGCAAGGGTGTAAATTTTTTTTTTCTTTATCAGTTGTATGGGATTAAATCTGTGTCATAACCATGTAAAATTGCTTTCTAGAGATGCCAAGTATGAATAACTGATCTAAAATAATAAGCATTGCGTCTATTGCTGGAAGGTGTACCAAGTATCAATTTCCCGTACCTGATAGTGTCAGACAAAGGCCAATTAACAGAGGAATAAAATGAAGTTTTACTTTTCATCAAGCAAATTTGAGAAGAGTTTCAAATAATCATAATTTTAAAAAATGATATGCAAAAATATGCCAATTTTCTTAAGCTTGAAACACACTTTATCTTTCATATTAACCAGTCTGTGGCCGCCAATGTATAGATGAGGAGGGAGAAGGGAAAGACTCTGAGCAGGTTTTCAGGGTAACAGATTTTAATTTAACGCCAAAAATGAGTGGTGATTCTCAGCCTTTAGTGTACAAAAATATCACCCAAGTAGCTTGTTAAATATGACAGATTCCAGGTTTACCCCAAGATTCTGTATCAAAATGCCTTGAGGGCCACCAGGAGATATTTCCTCAGATGATTCTAACTCAACAGTTTGAGAGGTAGCGTAGCATAGTGGCTAAATATACAGACTCCCTAGACTACGTCTTAGTTATCTAGTGCTGCTGTAACAGAAATACCGCAAGTGGATGGCTTTAACAAAGAGAAATTTATTCTCTCACAATTTAGGAGGTAGAAGCCCAAATTCAGGGCACCAGCTCCAGGCGAAGTCTCTCTCTCTCTGTTCTCGGGGAAGATCCTTGTTATCAATCTTCCTCTGGTCTAGGAGCTTCTCAGGACAGAGACCCTGGGTCCAAAGGACGTGCTCGTACCTGACTCTTCTTTATTGGTGGTATGAGGTCCCTCTCCTCTCTGCTCGATTCTCTCTTTTATACCTCAAAAGCGATTGACTCCAGATACAACCTAATCCTGTAGATGGAGTCCTGTCTCATTAACGTAACTGCCGCTAATCCTGCCTCGTTAACATCATAGGGGTTAGAATTTACAACACATAGGAAAATCACATCAGATTACAAAATGAAGGACAACCACACAATACTGGGAATCATGGCCTAACCAAGCTGACACACATTTTTGGGGACATAACAAGCTAACTAGGTTAAATTCCCATTTCCTCTGTAAAATGAAAAAAAAAAAAAATAATGAAATCTGTCTCATAGAGTTGTTATGAGAATTAAATGAAATAATATATATAAAGTACTTCCAACAGTTTCTGGCACATAGTAAGTGATTTGGTGTTTGTTAAATTAAAAAAGTTAAAAAACAAACATAAAATTAAATACAGGTAGCTTGAATACGACATTTTGAGATATGCCTTTCTTGTTTTGTCATAACTTGGAAAACCTGAGTAGACTGTTTAGTCCATGAAAACTTATGTTTGTTTTCTATTTACATAATATGATGAGCCTAGGCAAATTAAGAAGCAAAAAATTTGTATTCCATGCTTTAACATATCTTTTCTCACTCACTTTCCTGGTGTTTTCCTCTCTGATAGAACTTATTCTTATAAAAGTATCTAATGGTTTTATGCCCCAATGAAAATTGAAATTAAAATGTTGCCTTTCTCAAGAATTTTCTTTTTTTTTAATCTTTTGGTCACAGTGTAAACTAAATTGCTTTGTTTCCTACTAAAGAGATGCCAAACGTTGCTAACATATGGAAGATATAGTAACGGTGGTGGTGGTGATGATGATGACGGTGACGGTGATGGTTAGAATGACTTGGAGTGTTGCTTAAAACATCTGTAAATATATAGACACTGGCATATTTTGCCTGTTGCCTAAACCCTGAATTGGATGTTGGTGAGCCTGGGAATTTTGCTGCTGAAAATTTCTCACTATTTTTCTGAATTCGTATTGAAACCGAAATCCTTACTTTGCATCACTATACAATTTTCCCTAGAATAACACTGTGCAAAAGAAATATAATATGAGCCATAAGTGTAATATTAAATTTTATAGTAACCACATTAAAAAAGGAAAAAGAAATAGGTAAAAAAATAATTTTAATAACGTATTTTATTTGACTTCATATATTAGAAACATTTTGGCACTGTAATCTGTGTAAAATTATTTACGACATATTTTACTTTCTTTCTTTCTTACTAAATTTTCAAAATCTGGTGTGTATTTTATACTTACAGCACATCTCAATGTAGACTAGCCACATTTCAACTGCTCAAGAGTCACTTGTAGCTTTGTTGTTGTAGATAATTGCTGTTGAGTAGATTCCAATTCATGGCGACCCCATGTGTGCAGAGTAGAACTGGTCCATAGGGTTTTCAAGGCTGTGAACTTCTGGAAGTAGATCACCAACCTGTCTTTTGAGGAGCCTCTGGGTGGGTTTGAACTGTCAACCTTTTGGATAGTGGTTGAGTGCTTTGTTGGCGCCACCCAGGGACTCCTCGCATGTAGCTAGTGGCTACCATATTGGACAGCACAAGTCTAGAAGCAAAAGGCTCACTATTAAGCCTCAGGTACATTATTAAAGGCCTTGAAGTTTTAAAATACAAAAAACATAACTTTTAATGTCAGAATGACTGTTAAGTGTCCGCTCCCAAACTCTCTTTTACATTATTCCAAACATAACGTTAAAAAAAAAGATCAGATTCTAAAACTGCATCCCAATCAAGTCCTGCTTTTTAACAGGGGAAGTGAAAATGGTAAATGAGAAGTAAATTTAGTTTTCTAAAATCACAGATTGCTTTGTTCTTCTTCAAAAAGTGGAGAAATAAAGCCTATGAGGCTACTTAAGTATTTACAGCATCTGGGTATAATAATCAAGAAGAGATAGATGCATGTGAAAGGACTAAGAGCAAATTGATTTAAGAAAGAATTACAGAACTTCTTTTACACAGGCATAACTCACTGATTAGATATACTATATTTCCTAGGTCCTTGCCCCCAAGACTGGCTCTGGCATGGAGAAAACTGTTACTTATTTTCCTCTAGCCCATATAACTGGGAAAAGAGCCAAGAGACCTGCTTGTCTTTGGATGCCCAGTTGCTGAAAATTAATAGCACAGGTGATCTGGTGAGTTTTTATGGATTTGTGTTGGGCTGGAGTATTGGTGTACAGGGAAATAAATTTGGTTTAGGACAATGGTGAGAGAGCACTCGACTGAGAGGCAAAACACCTGTATTTTAGCCTCGCCTGGCGCTAGTTATGCGCATGACTTTGGATGGACAGGTTATGTATTATCTTTGGGACTCAGTAAACATTTTGTAAAACCACCAAGGAGATGACAAAATCCCTTTTGATTCTTTAGTTTTGTGAATCTAGTGTTAATCAACTTGCAGATTCTGAAATCACCACCTTGGCTCCACCATCAACTCAGAAACCTTACTCTTCACAGGAATTCATCCAGAAAGCCAGTGCCCATTCCAGTTTCCCATTCTGGATGGGGTTGTCTCTCAGAAAACCCAACAACTCGTGGATCTGGGAAGATGGTTCTCCTTGGATGTCTCATCTGTAAGTTTCCTATTCTTTGCCAAACCTACCAGTGAAGTTACTGCCCCATCCCTCACAGAATCCTCTTCTCACCAGAGAGAACCCAGGGAATTTCTGAAAGTCTATTTCCCTACTGCTCTCACACAGGGATGTGCCCACTTACTCACTTCAACCCTCTCTTGAGTTTTCCTTCCCGTATTTATTACTGACTTGAAGGTTTTAAGACAAGTTCGTTACATACGGTGGTAGTAAAATCTAACTTTTTTTTTTCCCTCCTATCTGCAGGTTTAGACTCCAGGGTGCTTCCAAGATCTACTCTTCAGGTACCTGTGCGTACATACAAAGGGGAATTGTTTATGCAGACAACTGCATTTTAGTTGCATTCAGTATATGTCAGAAGAAGGCCAATCTACTGACAGCACAGTGAATTTGAAGGTGCCAGAAGAAGAGAAGGAGAAGGTCTTCGAATTCTATTCCAGAAATTAAGCTAGTCCTCAAAACTCAGGTGCAAACCACAAGAGTCCCGAGCACTGATGCCCGCTCTTAGCCGGCTGCAGAACTCATTAGCACAGACTTGGGTTCCAGCTGCCTGTCACCTTTGTGTCAAAAGTTTGTCTAACTTATCTCAAGCCTCCCTGCCAGCCTTCAATTCCTCTTCTCTTTTTAAATGTTACTATTCTGCAAGCCTTGGAACCCTTCTGCACTCCGTCCTCTCTACCTCAGAGCCACCTCACCCTCACCCTCCTAAAACTACACAGACAAGAGAACAGGGAGAACTTGCCCAACTGCTGGCAGAGAGGGAAAAAAACAGAAAAAGAGGAAATATGCGTGGGCAACAGTGCACATGAAGAAAGAAAAAAGAGGAAAGGCCACACTGAAGTCAAGAAACTCATGTTCTCAAATTTAAAAGCCACCTTTCATGGGTCTTTCTTTTGCAGTTTATCTCCAGACTCCACTATTTACACACACACACAGCACCTGCATATTTTCAGGGGCAACTGGGGAGTCTGAGGAAGTAATCAGATGGTCTTTTCTGTAAACTAGTCCACAACCCGTTATCAGTTCCTGAGTCAGTTATTAGTCTTCCTTTTTTTTCTCTGCCAAAGAACAGAGCTTGGCATATGTATAACCTCTCAGAACAGAGTTTGCGTAATTTGTCAGAATCATGGTCCAGAAGCAAGAATTAAAAAAAAAAAAAACAAGGAGATAATTTTTTTTTTTCCTGAAAGTATCATACTCTTTGTAGCAGATCTTGTCAACTCTGTTATGCTTTGCTATAAGGCATAACATACAGGACAAAAAAAAAATGAAGACACTCATTTCTAGCATAAAGTGAACCAGGTATGGAGATATTGCTGTAGAGAAACAGATGGAATTAGCATTCTTCTATTTTCTATGCTTCTGTGGCCTTTCCACCTCCCTTCACAGACGTTCTCTAAAGAGAGCCTTTCCATTTTGCTGTACATAATGCTGCACATACTCTAGCACCAATCTCATAAAAAAGCTGTATCATTCCTAGGAAGGCAAGAGACGTGTTCTTTTTTAACAGTTTTATTGAGGTATAATTGACAGAAAATAGACTGAACATATATAAGGTGCAAAGCTTGATTGTTTGACATACATGAACTCTCTTGACATCGTCGACACAATGAAGAGAGTGAACATCTCTATCACCTCCACAAGGTTCATCCGCTCCTTCTCAACCCCACTCCCCAGACAACCACTGATTTGCATTCAGTTTGCATTTTGGAGAGATTTATGAAAATGGACTCATATAACTTATACTGTTTTGTTTGTTTAGCTTCTTTCACTTAGCATAATTATTTTGACATTCATCCATCTCATTGCTTGTATCAATTGTTCATTTTTTTAAGGCTGAGTATTATTCCCTTGTATGGATAAACCATAATTCATTTATTCATCCACTTGTTGATGGCATTCGGGTTGTTTTCAGTTTGTGGTTATTACAAATAAAGCTGCTGTGATGGATTAATTGTGTTCCCCCAAAAATGTGTGTCAACTTGGCCAGGCCATGATCCCCAGTATCGTGTAGTTGTCCTCCATTTTGTGATCTGATGTAATTGTCCTATGTGTTGTAAATCCTAATCTGCCTGTGGTTAATGAGGCAAGATTAGGTTATGTTAAAGAGGATTTGGATGGGATGAAACACCCTTACTCAGGTCACAGCCCTGATCCAACATAAGGGGAGTTTCCCTGGGGTGTGGCCTGCACCACCTTTTATCTTACAAGACATAAAAGGAGAAAGAAGCGAGCAGAGAGATGGGGACTTCATGCCGCCAAGAAAGAAGTGCCGGAAGCAGAGTGCATCCTTTGGACCCAGAGTCCCTGTGCTGGGAAGCTCCTAGACCAGGGGAAGATTGATGAGCAGGACTTTCCCCCAGAGCTGACAGAGCCAGAAAGCCTTTTTCTAGAGCTGGTGCCCTGAACTTGGACTTCTAGCCTCCTAACCTTTGAGAGAATAAACTTCTGTTTGTTAAAGCCATCCACTTGTGGTATTTCTGTTATAGCAGCACTAGATAACTAAGACAGCTGCTATGAACATTTGTGTACGAGTCTTTATATGGACACAGGGGTTCTTTTCTCCTGAGTAAATACCTACGAGTATAATGTCTACAGAGCCCTGATGGCACAAACAGTTAAATGCTTGACTGCTAACAGAAAGGTTAGGGGTTCAAAGCCACCCAGTGGCTCCACAGGAGAAAGACCTGGTGATATGTTTCCATAAAAATTACAGCCAAGAAAACCGCATGGGCAGTTCTCCTCTTGTCACACAGGGTGACCATAAGTCAGAATTGACTCGACGGCACCTCACAGTAACAAAATAATATCTACAGCATACATGTGTGTTTAGCTCTTTAAGAACTGCCAAACTGTATTCCCAAGTTGTACCATTTTACATTCCCAGAGCAGTATATGAAAGTTCCTATTCCAGCTCATCCTTGCCCATGCTTAATATGGTCAATCTTTGTAATTGTATCCATTTTTCAAAATTATTATTTTTTGGTGAAAATATACACAGCAAAGCATATACCAATTCAGCAATTTCTACATGTACTATTCAGTGACATTATTGATACATTCTCCAAATTGTACAACCATTCTTCTATCCTTTTCCAAATTTTTCCACATCTATTAAGATAAACCCACTACCCCCTAAGCTTTTCATCTGACCTTTTGAGTTGCTGTTTTCAATTTAATCCCATATAGGTAATTCTATATGCTCAAGGCAGACATTCTTTACTAATTAAGCTAAACTCTGGGGGCCCTGGTGGTGCAGTGGTTAAGCATTTGGCTGCTAACCAAAAAGTTGGCAGTTCAAATGCACCAGCTGCTCCTTAGAAATCCTGTGGGGCAGTTCTACTCTGCTAAACTATAGTTTGGTTTAAAGACGACTTCAATGAATAGTTTTGGTTTAAGGTTTAAATGTTATCTCAGGACAATAGTTTTAGGGGGGCATCCAGCCTCAATTACTCCAGAAAGTCTGGATTCCATGTGAATTTGAAATTCTGTTCCACATGTTACCTCTTTGATTAGGATTCTTCTATAGAATCTTTGATCAAAACATCCAGTAATGGTAGCTGGACACCATCCTGTTCTTCTGTTCTCATTGGAAACGAAGTAATTGTTCATGGAGACAATGAGACACTCATTCCGTTTCCTCCTCTGATTCCTGACTATTCTTCCTCTACTGCTCAAGGCAAAGAGATACGAATTATTGAACCTTGGATGGCCACTTGCAAGCTTTTAAGACCTCAGGCACTATACAATGAGCAATGAGGTAGAACAGAAACACTAAAAATGAGATTAGACCAATTGACTGGGTTGTCTCATAAAACCATGACCCTAAATCTCCAAACCAAGAAAACAAATCTCATCAACAGCTGCCTGCTCTCTCTCTTTTCCATTGTTGTTGTAAAAATATATATGACATAGCATTTTCCTATTCAACCTTTTTCAGGTGTACAGCTTAGCAATATCCATTACATTAATCAGTTTGTGCAATCTTTACCCTTAATTGGTCCCAAATTTCCTATCACTATAAACAGAAACTCATCCATTCCCAAACAATAGCTCCTCCTCTTCCCCTCTTCCCCTCCTCTGGTAACTACTAATAAACTTTGGTCTTTACACGCTTGCCTATTCTTGTCATTTCATGTAAGTGAGGTCATACAATATTTGTCTTTTTGCAGTTGACTTATTTCACTTAGCATAATAATTTCTAGGTTCATCCATGTTGTGGCATATATCAGGACTTCATTTCTCTTTATGGTTGAATAGTACTCTATTGTATGTGTGTACCACATTTTATTTATTCATTCATTCACTGATGAACATTTAGGTTGTTTCCACTTTTGTCTATCGTGAATGGTGCTGCAGTGAACACTGGTCTAAATTTTGTCCATTTAAATACATACATAGTAGTATATCACTGGAATTTTAATTTGCATTTCCCAAATGACAAATGATCTTGAACATCTTTTCAAGCATCCATCTACTATCTGTATATTTTCTTCAATAAAGTGTCTGTTCAAATCTTTTGGACATTTTAAAATTAGGTTGTTTTCTTGTTGAGTTTTGAGAGTTTTTTTATATATTCTGGACAAAAGTTCTTATTCAGATATATGTTTTGAGAATTTTTTTCTCAGTGTACGGCCTGTCTCTTCATTCTCTGAAAGGTATCCTCAGAAAATCAGGAGGTTTTAATTTTGATGAAGTCCATTATCGTGTTTCTGTTGGTGGTGTTTCCAAGAACTATTTTCCTAACCCAAGGTCATAAAAATTTTCTCCTTTGCTTTCTTCTATATGTTCTATGGTTGCAGGTTTTACATTGAGATCTATGTTTTGTTTTGTTTTTGTTTATTTGTTTTGATGTATGATATGAGTTATGGATTGGCATCTTTTTTTTTTTTTTTTTTTTTTTGCTTATGGATATCCAATTGTTTCAGCACCATTTGATTGAAAAACTATTCTTTCTTTATTTTCACTGCATTGCCTTTACACCTTTGTCAACAATCAGTTATCACATATGTGTGAGTTTATTTCTGGACTCTATTCTGTTCCACTGAGTTGACTATTTTTACACAGCCACCACATTACTTTGAATACTGTCATTTAAAAATATATATTGAAATCAAGTAGTGACAGCCCTTCAACTTTTTTTCTTATTTTTCAATGTATCTTCTCTGTTTTATGTCTTTGCATTTTCTTATTAATTTTAGAATCAGCTTGTCAATTTCTACAAAAAAAAAAAAAAACTCGGGCTTTTATTGTGATTGCATCTTAAAAATAATGATTTGTCCAGCCCATGAGCAAGGTATATCTCACCAGTTATTTAAGTATTCTTTAAGCTTTTCAGCAGTGTTTTCTAGTTTTCAGTGTGCACATTTTTTGTAGATTATCTTTAAATATTACATGTTTTTGATGCTACTGTAAATAGTATTGTTAAATTTTTATTTTCAAGTGTTTGTTGCTAGTATATAGAAATGCAATTGATTTTATATTGACCTTATATTCTGCAACTTTGCTGTTGTTTTGGGGTGCCGTTGAGTTGATTCTGAATCATAGTGGCCCCACGTGACAAAGTAGAACTCCCCATAGGATTTTCTTGGCAGTAATCTTTATGGAAACAGATCCCCAGGTCTTTCTCTTGCTAAGCTGCTGGGTGGGTTCAAAGAACTAACCTTTTGGCTAGCAGCCGAGCGCCTAATCATTGGGCCACCAGGGCTTGCTAAACTCACTTATTTTTTCTAATAAATTTTTGTAGATTCCATTGGATTTTCTACATAGATAATCATGTCATCTGAGAATATAGTTTTGCTTCTTCCTTTCCAATCTGGATGTCTTCTATCTCTTTTTCTTGCTTGATGTCATAGACTAGAACAGATACGTTACAAAATAAAATATACAGATGGTAAATAAACACATGGAAGTAAGCTCAAGAGTGTTTGTCATTTGGGAAATGCAAATTTAAAACTACAATGATATACCACTACATACTTATTAAAATGGATAACATTACAAAGGCTGATCATCAAGTGTTGGCAAGGGTGAGTCTCTCATGAGGTGTTTCATTTTTGATAGTCTCTATTGTTATGTCTTCAAATCCACTAGTCTTTTCTTCTGTAGTTCTAATCTGTCATTAACTCTATACTGTATATTTTTCACTTTTCACTTTGTAGTTTTCATCTCTCAAAATATAC